AGAGATGCAGATTTATATTACACACTCAAGAAAATAACATGCCCACAATCATGCTACCTTTGAGATAAATCTGCATCAGCAGTTACATCTCCCACTGAACGCTGAGATTCTTTGAGTCGAGTCTGTAATTGTTGGAACAGATCAAGCTTGTTCTTCATCTTTGCAATACTTAAGTAGACCCTTGCCATTATGATTTGGTCCCGGATCAAGCGCACTGTTGAATCAGAGTTCTCATTCTCATTTTCTTTCCTCCAAATGCTGTATTTTCCCAGAACTGAAGAGTCAACTGATTTGGAGCGCTCAATGGCTGCATTTTCAAGCTTTACAATTGATTCATCATCTCGTTGTACCAACTCATTTGCACGCTTTTCGCGTCTCTTCTCTCTTAATTGCTGCAGAAGTGCTTATAAAAGCACATATTAGAACCTTTAGAAAAAATAATAAACAGGAGCATACCCAAGTAAACATAACCTTGGTTTAATTAGAGTTTATTTCATTTCCATTCTGAGTTTGCAAACATGGATTAGACAATTTCAAGCAAGCAAGAACCATATAACAAGCTTTGACAAAAAAAAGAAACATATAACAAGCAAAACATAGAGCACACTGGAGTATGATAATTACCCGTCGGGCTAGTTTTGCAGGATCAACAAGTTGAGCATGATCACCTGCAAATCATAATAAAATCAAAAAGAACGCAGAAATGTTTTACGGACAACAGAAAGTAATGTTGTAAAGATATTACCACCTGAAGATACATCCACTTTAACCTTAGGTGTCTCTTGTCTAGCATCTACAGCTGTAAAATTTATCTATATACAGACAATCCAAAACGCAAACAATCAGCAGCAAGCAACAAACGGATGAAATTTTTGCAGAAGTAGCACACAAGATTTATCAGGGATGGTTAAAAAATAAAGAAGAAACATGACAGACGTACTAACCTTATCTGTAATTGAAGTCTTTTCCCCAATGACTTTCCATGAAGCTGACAAATTGTTTTTTCTGAAGATATCAAGGCTCAAAGGCCCCATGTCATTTGTGTTGGCTGCAATTACATCAATGACCTAAATGTTGATCCAATCAGTGTACTGGTTAGAAAGAAAACTCAACAAAATATAAAAATTGCCAGCACTTATATGAACGACATGTAGATAACTCATTGATTCAATCAAGTTGAACTTGCCTCTTTTGAGAAAAGAGATTTGACATGTTGCAGCGCCAGCCTTTCTCTCCAATCCACATTCTGCACCAGTCAATTAATTGTTTCTTGTTCACAATTTTTTTATTGGTTCTGCTAGAAGTAGTTATACACTACATAAGATTTGAGACAGAAATTGATGGAAGCATGAAGCAATACCTTTGCACCAGGACTGGATAAAACGTCATTTTGATCTGCACAAATAGCAACAATCAATTAAAGTAAAACTGATAAAAGACGAGTCAACTATGCTAAACCATCCATCGGGGAAGAAAAAAAACATTATTCTGTTTGGGTTTGATGTTACAAAATTTTTCAAGATTCCAACAGGAGTTGGCCCAGGTGTACATGTAAACAAGATATAAACAGGCATTTTTTCAATAGGATTCTTCACGGATTATAAGGTTGACCAATAATTGGCCAAGCATAAAACAATTGTGCAAAAACTGGTAAACAACTTCATATATTTGCTGCTTAGCTATGTTTTGCAGTCTTTGTTGAATTATTTAGCAAGCATCCTCTAGCTAGACCAGTGGACAATTAGTGCTTTGTATCGTTCAGTTCTTTCTTAATGAAATTATGTTTCTTATCAAAGAAACTTCATATCAAAAGATTGAAGAATTAAATTTACAACATTAATACATCTGAGCCAAAGACAAAGGAGCAAACTCAAAACATGGGCACAACGTGTGTTGTGAGTATTGTGACAGAAAGGGGCATAAATCTCTGTTTTTAGACACTCGAATAGCTTTATAAGATTCACAAGTAACTTTCCCAATTTGCATCCTCTCTGACTTCTTGTGAGTCATGATCAAGAGGGTAGGAAGTGCACTCCTGCGACCAACATATGCAATGAACAATACCTCCAAAAGACAGAGAATCCATGACACTTCTTCCATTTTATCACTTCAACAAAACTAACTGAACTTATTCATCAAGACGTAGTCTTGGAAAGAAAAAAAAAAAAAAAAAGTACTGCATAAAGTGAACCATACGAGCCAAAAGAATTTTTGTTGTATATTCTTGTCTACATTATAATAAAAATAAATATTCTTGTACAATAGGCTGTATGTTCACTTTTTTCCTTTCTATACATGTAACAGTAGCAAGAAGTAACTCTCAAAGTGCTATAATTTTTTCCCCAATATCTAAGAATAAACCAGTCTAACACAAAATGGAGTTGGGAACAGGTTTTTCCCAGTAACTTAGCATCAGAATATTGAGCATTCTTTAACCACATATACAAGTATGTGACCCAACTACAACAACCTCTTGTAAAGGTAAAGGTAAAGCATATTAGTCCACAGAATCAAAGTAAAACAGGAGAGATGCGGGACAGTGAGTTATGTGAAGAAATTAAATATATGAATTTAACACATAAACTCATATTGTACAAGCCTAGTGAGTTATGTGGTTCAGAATATGTACATGTCCAAAAGGAGACTGAAAATAGAAGTTACCACCTACTGAACTGAAAACAGTCTTCACCCCTCAGTTCTCATCTTCTTTATCACATAATATACCCATAAATACAATTTGATTCTATATGTCAACATCAAGAAGAACAAACAACTACTTTAAACCTGGAAATGCTTTGAATAATAGGCTAGATTGGTCCACAACTACTGCTTCATTTTATAAATACTAATCTACTCCAGTCGTATTTCCTAGCCAGCTCTCAAAAAAAACACAAACCAGGAAATGCCCAAGTGGTGCGCAGTTAAGCTCAAATATAATCTACCTACAAGATGTGAATGACTGACTACATAACCCACATACACCACAGCTGTTGGATAAAAAAAAGGTAAATCCTCATCAAAAGGATAAGCACGCTGAAAAAGTTAAATTTATCATCAAAATCCACTTATAATTTGCCCACTGATGTACCAAGACAAAGGTAATTTCTCCATTTTAATCACGTAAGGAACAATCAGAGTCATTTGATTCAGAAACAAAGACAATTGCAAAGTCTGAAACAAATGTAGAGCATTCTTCAGGCCTCCAAATACACTAGCATCATATTGCTAACACTTGAAAAACTAACATTCATGGTTATCAAAGCAGTAATTGTATCAATAAGGCATTGACTTTAACCGTTTTCTGATATTCTGAAGCAAAGAAAACAGCAATTGCAATAAAAAAAGGTAATTCTCCTTAATGCGAAGCAGAAAAGGAACCTAATTGAGATCTAGTGCAAACCTAAATTTAAATTTCACACAAACGGCTACGTACATATAGACATATATACACATTTCTCAACATAAATAAAAAAAATTAAAAAAAGAAATTAAAAGAATTGAGCACAGACCAGATATGTGGAGGCCACGGCCGACGAAGAAAATCAACGGAACGAGAAGTGAAAAGAAAATAAGAATCGCAACAGGGAATCGAGATCCGGAGGCTCGGTTTCTCTGGACGCCCGCACTCGACAGCCCGCGCTTCAACGCCATTGCCAATCAATACCTAGAGTTAAAAATCAAGACAAAAAAAGAAGTCAGAGAATCAGCCAGAGAGAGAGAGAGAGAGAGAGAGAGAGAAGAAATTACAGAAGGATCTTGAGGAATTTGAAGTGAACAGTGTGGCTAAGAAAGCCTAATGCGAGCCAGAGACTCAGAATCCATGGAAGGGAAAAAGTGAAGAAGAAGAGAGTGAGGTCTTTGAGGAGTGTGATTTCAAGCAAAATTCCACGGCGATTTTGTTTTGTGTTTTATATAATTTTGGTTTGGGAGTGTTTTGCTTTCCTTCTCGCGTCTCTTTCTTTTCTGTGGCCCAATTACACAACAAACCAACACAGAATTTAATTAATAAAATAATTCATAGTGTTTTTCCTATGATAACGGATTTAACTACGTCGGCAACCCAAAAAAGAAAAACTACGTCGGCAATCGCTTTCACTATAGCTGTCATTGTGGCAACAACAAAAAAATAACACGCCAAAAATCAAAGACCCTGTCATTGTGGCGCTTTTATTCAACACATTTTACAAGTCCCCAAAGAAAAATCAAGGGAAATAAATCACTGTTTTATTTATTTATTTATTTATTTATAACATTTCTTTTTAAGAGGAATGATAGTATACTAAATTCACACACACTGTACGGATGCTAAGACTCGAACCAAAGACCTTTCATGTGAGAATAAATACTCTAAACCATTACACTAGTGAGTCCTTTGCAAAAATCACTATTTAAAGCTTACATTGTGCACGCACCATGTTAAATTGGTATTGAGTACCACTTCACGATTTACTTAACTTCTCAGAACCATCTATATTTTCACAATATAGTTCAACAATCATAACCGTCTATATTTGATGTTTTTCTTCCAGGGTCATTCATGTAAAAAAAAATATATATAATTGGAAAATGTTTGATCATCTAAAATATGCAAAGAAATATGATTCTTACGATAAAACTGAAACAAAATGTGTGAATAATTAAATAGCTAACCTAATCTTATGTTTATGTTGAAAATTATATTTGTTAGTGGGTATGGGTAAATTAGTTGAACTCTTCCATCTTTATCTATACAGAAAGAGGTTTGAAACCCAGGCACCCGGTGAATATTACAGATGATATGGTTTTTGCTCCAAAATATATAACATTTTAGAGTTTTTTTTAATATATTTCACCAAAATATGGAAATAATCAATTACATTAACAATTTCAACTCTTTCTATTTTACTCCCAAACCCTCGCGTTATTTCATTCTTATTTTGGTTGCACCCATACCAGTGTTCTTTCCAAACACTACCTTACTCTTAATTTCCATCCTATATATTATACTGAAATTTCAGATGTAGTGCTGACACAAATAAGGTGGAATGTTTCTATGGTCATCTCATATCCCTTTACATCAAGCAAAAAGTTCTTACATAAAATTACCTAAGCGGATAAATATCCGAAAAAGCAATAAAAATATAAACAAATTCAAGCTACCATGGCATCTTCATGGCCTGAGCTTGATGATAGAGCCATGGTCCTATGGTAGAACGATTGCCTCCGCTTCTCTACATAATCGCCACATCCAAGTAATCTCCAATCTGCATATCAGAGGCATAAGTCAGAAACGGGGGATGTCAGTCAGATATATAATATACGGCATGAAAAATAACATCTTTACCGCAAAGCCAAGTTCAGCCAAAACTTTGGCATCGTCTAATCTTCCATTTCCATAAGAAAGCGTCCTCCCCACCTTCATGATGCAACACTCAGAAGTCAGAATCTAGTCACATATCTAATTTGCTTATCAACCCACAAGAAATATGTGCAGTTACGTTAACTGTAAATATTAGTTGTGGTGACTAACTTTTAATTCAAGCTGTCAACCCACACATGGCACAACCTGCTGTCAGGTTTGAATTCAGATTGGCATATTATAAAGAAACTTTTCTCTTTTTATGATAGGCATATCACTAATAGCACCTAAATCTAAATCACAATACAATCAACTTTTACACTGAAAACATCAAACTTACCAAACTAATCAATAAATTCAACTAAAAATTTCATCTGCGCAGTTTTTTTTTTTCCTTTCCCTTTTTGATTCTTGCGCTATTGATAAAGGAATTTGTAGAAATTGAAGATATATAGATAATAATAATAAATAAATAAAAATATTGGCAAACAAGCCACACAAAGATCAAACAGAAATTACAAAACCAATACAGTATTTGCAGAATTCTGAAGAGTCAGGATATTAAACATACCCTTGCATGCATAAACATGGGAAGTTGAGAGATGAAAATAATTTACCATTAACTATATGTGGTTTCAAGATATGTATGCTGAGAGAGAGAGAGAGAGAGAGAGAGAGTAACCTCTTTGACCACAAAATGACCATGCCTATCTGGATATACAATAGCAAAGGACAGTTTTGCATTTCTCCTTCTAGCTGCAGGAGCAACCTCTTTGACCTGAAATACACAACCAATTACAATACCCAAATGGTGAAAATAAAGAATAGTTTCTATGAATAACTATCTTCATACATACATATGGCTATGCTATGAAAAGAAACATGAATATTATACATGTGTACAAATGCAGATATGTAAGTATGTGCATCCACACAATGACATATATGATATACACCACACATGGAGGAGAGAGAGAGAGTTTCAACCAGATCAGTTAACTCGCGAAGATTAGCATCTCTCCATGTATAAATTTGAACTTCATCCTTAGGCTCCTTTCCCCTCACTGCAAAATCCTCGTTGGTATGATGACTTCCAACCTACAAAAAAAAGCCAAGAAGTAAAATCATAACAATGAGAACAACTTCCACATATGACTTTTTGTCCAGAAAACTAAGAACTATTAGATCTTCAATAAGCAGAGACAGCCCACCATATGTACTATGGTCAGTCAGCTTACATGTTTTCTCTAAAGTTTAAAACAACAATAAACCAGTTTTGACATGTTGTTTCTTTCAAGTCATACAAATTTCTTGACATCTATGTCCCACCTAAGTTTCAAAATGACACTGCCTTGGTAGCGGCAATTGAGAACTGGAAAAATTATGATACACATACAGGAAGAAAGTACAAACAAGATAACAGTGCAAGAATCAGGATAAACACAAACAACATAGAATATCCACAATCACTTGTAAAAGACAAAGACCAAGCTTTATTGAGAGAACTTAGTGAAACTCTATAAAACCATTCAATGAAAGTGTACACATGAGACACAACATTGGCAAAAATTTTCCTTTTTTGCTGCTGCACAGAAAACCGAGGGAAGTATACCACATAATAACCTAATACCCAACATTGCCCATGTAGATGGACAGAGAGAAACTTCCCTTCTGAGTCCCAGCAAAGCTTCTCCAAAAAGTTGAAAACCCATCATATAACAATAATTTTCCCCTTCTAAAAGTATTCTCTAAATAGAATTGATCATGCTACAAAATTATTGAAAGCAAGTGCCCTGTATAATGGTTTTATTTTTCGAACTTGTTTTAAAGCCTATATATTTTTCTTACTTCTGAAACCATAATTCTCATGTATCATGAAGAAGGGTTTCTTGAAAAAATTTAAAACTGAAACTTATGAGCAACATAAATCGAATGACAGCCCAACCACACAAACCCAGTTCATATATGAGCATGGGTAACATACCTTAGTGAAAACTCGAAGCAACAGGGGACAAGTCTGCAATCCAATGAGAACCCAAAAAAGAAAACCCATCAATGTAACAAAAAAATAAATTTTTATAAAAGAAAAGTTAAAAAAACAAAAAGGGAACCTTTTCGCGATCGACTGGGGCAAAGCGAGGGCGAGGAGGAGAGCGAGGACCTCTTCCCTGTGGGGCTAGTGCTCTCTTCGGAGCTTGGGCTACTCCAGCCATCCCTACCAACTCTCTCGATTCTTCTTTCTCCAACCTTCTTCTGCTTCTGTTATTCCTTCTGAGCTTTTGTCTTGTTTGTTTTAAACTTTGTTTCCCTGTTTCTAGGCTGAGAATGGTTATGGACTGTGAGTCTGGGCTGTAAAAAATATTCTAAGCCTTCCAATAACAATGAGTTGGGTATACTTGGGCCAAGAGAGCCTAATTGAGAAGGATCCATTGTGGGCCAAATCCCAATTTAGCTTTGAATTTCCTGGTTTTTTAAAAAATTTAAAAAAATTTAAAAAGTTTGATACTCTTGATTTTTTTATATTCAGTTTTATCTTTATGGTTTGAGAAAAGTAGTCCTATATATTTGATTCCACTTAACATTACTTCTTTTTTTTTTTAATCAACGAGGTCTAGCATAGTAAAAAAGGGCCTTAACTTGCATACTATGGTTTCAAGTTCGAATCCCCATGACACCTTAGCAGTGTCTGTGTGAGAAAACCCTACTCCCCCTAACTTTGGCAACAACAAAAAACATTACTTTTTTTGTTCTACTAAAAATTTGGTTTTTCTTTGGTGAACAATGATAGTGTGTGGGCTTTGAGCGGTGGTGTTTATGCTTAGAGAGATACAATATTAGTCTGACGACTCAAACTACCACATTAAGAAAATAATGTACTAGTTAGACAATGTGAAAGTGCAACATTGCACCCGAGAAAAACCGCAACGAAAAGAATGAAAGTCACTAAGAGAGGTATAATATGCCTCTTAGTTCTTACACCCAACCAGTCAATTGAGCCTGGGCAATTGAAAACATATGTCAAATATGAGTTTTAGTGCAATTCATTTTAAGGGTTTTCTTATTTGTGACTAATTGATATCAAGACAATGACACATTGTCCTTTCTCCTGTTGTATTGTTTCTCCTCATCTTTCTCCAAGTCCAAAACTCCACCCAACTTTACAGGACAACCCAGCCATCAAGTTTCAAAACCATATATGCATGTATGTACCCATCATCAGGGCCATCACCACATGAGCTGCAATGCCTTAACTAAAGCTTTCTTTAAATTCCAACCTACTAGGCTGGCAAAGATGGTGCTACAAGTGAAATTAATTTTGGGAAAAAGAGACAAAATATAATTCCAAGAAAGTCCCAATTTCACCTATGTACTCTTTGATCCCTATGGATTACAAGGAAACAAAGACAGGACACTTGGTGATAGGGGCTTGAAAGCTCAGTTGGTGGTTTGTAGAGCAGGATTGGGAAATGTGCATTGAAGAGCACAGCCCACAGCTATCAAAGCTTTCCTAAAATGGCAAGCCCTAACCACACCCCTACCAGTACTTTCTTGGAATATTATACCAAAGGATGGGGTCCTGTTTAAAATGTTGGGCCCCACTTTGGCATATTTATGTGCCACTTTAACAAATGCTATGTGACTATTTTTATTTTATTTTGTTTTTCTTTTCAACCCTTTTCCTATTTGCACACTCTTTGTGGTAACTTTGTGGTAAAAATTGGTGATGTTTGTTTGAGAGGTTTCTATGGCAATGGAACAGGAGTAGTATTGTTTTGCTATCTTCAATCAATCACAGTCTGTCATGTGAAAAAGTTATCACGCGTGACATACCATAATTGGTCGAGAATAGCAAAATACTGCTATCCTCAGTTCATGCGAGTGTTTCTCTTTCTATAGGGATATGAAAAAAAGCAGTATTTACACATCTTTCATACCAATTGTGTTGAATTATTGGCTTTACTTTGTCCAATCTTGTGACACCCCATAAAGAAAATTTGTCAAAAGGGAAGAACTTTTGATTGTGTGGCAATTGCCTCTAGGTGACGTTTTCCTTTTCTTTCTTATTTGGCAAAGTTGGAGCAAACGTACGTATATATGTATCTTAAGATTGTTAATCTTAGTTAACACATAAATGGTTACATTGAGTTTTCATTTTTGCCAAGAAAAATGGTGGTGATGACTTGGAAACAAACTTGGCCAAGCATTATTGCTGACTTCTGAATATGAGAGAGATCCATTGATGTTAAAGATTGCAATGTCATGAGTTATATTCATGATTTCATGTCATCTATATCCATTGTATTTCATCTTTAATGTCCATTTTGTTTTGGTGAATCACGTGCCACATATATTTTGGGTGGAACTCATGACTTGGATAAATTAGCTTTGACTCGTCAAGTGGTCAACCTTTAAATTATTGACCACCAAAATTTTGATATGTACAAAAACATAATATAAGGGTTGTTCAAGCATGATCAAACATATGAAATCTTCTCATATTAGGGGAGAGGCGACCCAGTCCGACGGTAATTTTTGTCATCCCTACACACCGAAAGATCACATGTGAATAGCATTTTTCACACATAAATATTCAAATGGTACATGATGTTGAAGGTTCTTTTATTGTTTGTCACCTTAGTCCAAAATAATGGTACCTACACTACATTAATGGGTGTTGCGTTTCTTGACCAAAACAATGGCTCAATACTAAAAAAGTCTTCCAGTACTCGATGCAGAGCATATGACTAAGTTCTCCTAACCAGTCTGGTTTCACTTCTTTCATTTAGTGTACTGAATCTAGCCACTGGAATTATTACCTTCTGTCCACTGTGATTTTGGAAAGAAAAATTGCTAGCTTTATACCCTTCTCAACAATACAGCCCATTATCCACGAAATATATTCTTTTACTTTCCCGGATACCAAACACATTTATTCTTCAAAATTGAAAATTATGTTATTGCTAAACTGAAATTATTGTTTCCATAATGGTAATATTACATATAGTTGTGGTAAGTTTGTAATCGACCCGGATAATAAACTCTAAAGTTTAAATTCCATAAATCATTACTTGTTTGCATAAGGGAAGAATGCTAATTAAGGTTAGTTGCTCGAACACGCATGGATGAATCAAGATCATTAATGCATTAAGAGCATCACATGTATCAAAGATTAGCAATTCGTTGAGCGCCTACCCGTAAAACAGCTCTCTATAACACGTTTGATTAGTGATTAAAAAAAAAATCAATAAAGAAACAAAGGAAATCAATCTCTCACACTTGAGTCAGAGAAATATATAGATGAAAGAGTCCATTGTGGAAAAGGTAGTCTTGCCTGCAACAGAATCTACCATGAAAGTAAATCCAATTTATGATTTATCAATTGGGTAAATGGGTCAGTAAAAAAAATAAATGGTTGAAAAATATACCCAAATTTTTTGTGCCCAAATTCAACTGGAGATGACAGTGAACAGCGGGCATGCTGGAAAGTGGAGACTGAAAAGAAAGGCCATCATAATCAGGCCGTACCTTCCATTATGGCCTTTAGCAATTTCATTTCTTTTACCCTTTTCTCCCTCCATTTAACCACAAATGAATGTATCTAATAACTTCTACTTCTTTTTTTTTTGGGTGAAAGCTAATAACTTCTACTTCAGGATTCACTTAATCGAAAATACTACCATACCATACATTCAAATATGATTTTTAATTTTAATTTTTTTAATATTCAAGCGATATTGGAAGAAAAGTGGAATCGAGAATAATGCTCTTAACCACTTGAATTACAAACAACTTGCAAATATGTTATATTTTAAATGGTTAATTCGTATAACTTTTAATTCAGAATTCACTTTAACTGGAAATTATACCGTACGACCAAGTAAGTGTGACATATCAACGTTGATTTAACTGTTCAGAAAGTGCATAACCCTACTCATTGTTCTTACTTTCCGAACACAAAGTAACTTACTTGAAAGTGAGGTACCAATTAGTTATCTCTAATTGTACAAAACAAAGCATGATCAATGCTTGACCAAAAAAAAGCATGATCAATGAATAACTACAAGTATTCTATTGCTAAATACACAATTGAGATCGAACAAATCATAATCTGACACGTATATATACGGAATCACATGTATTAACAAACAAGTACAAAATACTGTTTGGTTTGGTGGAAAGTTCCCTATCAGATTAATCATGAGTTTCTTTTTGTCTTCCCCTTTCAACCATATACGCGTCTTAATTCGTCTTTATATATAAAGTTTCTAATTATGCTTGGTTTTATGTTTCTCATCATGAAGAATCCTTTTTGAGTTCCTGGGTAATCCCTAATTTTGCCACTCATCTCATACTTGCATCCAATACAAGTGCATGTGTACTATAAATAAAAGGCATAATATTTCATTATTTTGTTCAAATACATCAAATTCAAACTTCACATGCTAAATGAAAAGGACCTTTTAACCCTACTACAAATATAGAATCAAATTTTGCAGGTCTCAATAATTTAAATACCCAACTACAACCATTTCTATTATTGCTCCTCTAAGACCATTGGCATTAGTGGACTGTGATGCTGACAGCTCAGCAACCCAAGAATTCCATGAATGGTATTTCACAAAGAAGAGAGAAAGGCAACCAATTTTTTTAGATTTAGGGCTGCATGTAGAAATTCAAGTCCCCATCATATAGAAATGGCCAATCATACACATTCATGGAATTTACCCAATAAATGTAGGGCGGTTTTTGAAATTTGCCCAACAAAATTTATTTCACTTAAAAATATTCAAGTCACCTTCACGATAGATGTAAACTCTTTTTATTCCAAAGGATAAATTATCATGGATTCGAGTATCTAGTATCTGTGTAGTCTGTGAGTTTGATATATTTTCTCACCTCTTAATAGAAAAAGTCCTTAAAAAATTTAATCTTATTTATATTATTAAAATGAGTTTTTAAGCTTTAGTAAAAAAAAATTATATAATTTTCATTAATTTTTTATTTATTTGTATACAAACAATATTGAAGGAGAGAGAACTTCGGAGTTATAACTAATGTTAACAACGAGGACCAAAATAGATCCAGTGACAAAAAAAAAATATTTCACAAAAAAAAAAAGAAAAAAAGAAGGTGATTGGACTGTAATCGAATGACCAACTAATTATAAACTAACAAACTCTACGCCACCTCGCATTCGTGACACGTCATACTTGTTCATCATTTTGGTTATGTTGATCTTATTGAGCCAATATCTTCCTATTATCTGTCTCTAATTTTCATCCGACAATTTATTTT